TTGAAAAAAAAAATTAAAAAAAAAAAAGTGCTGTACAAAAAATGTTGCTACACAATCTGTAGACAAGATCTTTGTAAACAGATGGGAATAACAACAGAAAAATCTAGAAGGAGCTACCAATTGCTTTGCAAGTGTATTTAAATTCTATTCCCACTTTAAAAGAAACCGAAATTGGGGCACCTGGGCGGCTGAGTTGGGTAAGTGTCTGACTTCGGCTAAGATCATGGTCTCACGGTTTGTGAGTTCAAGCCCTGCGTCAGGCTGTGGGCTGACAGCTCAGAGCTCAGAGCCTGCTTCGGATTCTATGTCTCCCTCTCTCTCTGCCCCTCTCCTGCTTCCACTGTGTCTCTCTCAAAAATAAATAAACATTTTAAAAAAATAGATAAAAAATAAAAGAAACTAAAATTGGAAGTTACAGGTGCATCATGAATTTAGTTTATGCAGTTGATACACAGCTTTGGCCCCATAGTAAAAATCTGAGTAATTTATGTTTTAAAATAAAATGTCTTCCTTCTGATTAGTTTTTATGACACCATACTTTAGCCAATTTTTTCAATTAACTGGTTCACTGGACTGGCTAACTGATTCATTCCAATCTGATAAGAGTACTTTAATGATAGCACACACACGTGCACGCGCGCGCACACACACACACAAAGCCAGAAATGGTGTGATAAGGCTGTTTAGGATCCTATGGGAGAAAAGGAAGGAAAGCCTTACTTAGCCTGGGATGAGGAGAGAGTGAGGGGTGGGAGGAAGCAGAGAGGGCAGCATTATAGAAGGCAGGAAGGAATGGGAAAACACTATCTTAATGAAACCCAATGGAACTTAACAGAAGTCGTTGTGGCTATGGCCCCATGTCAGAAGGGAAGAGGAGGGTTGGGAGATGAACCAGATGAATAGGCTCTAAGCTCTAACCAGGCAGAACTCACCTATCTGCGTAGGTTCCACGTTTTGTTGCTGCTTAAAAAAAAACTTTGTTTGGACTTTGTCCCTTCCACCCAGAATGTCCTCCTCTACCTCATCCATGCCCAAACCATATCCAGTCCTAGCTGAAATACCCTCTTCTGGACAAAGCTGTCCTCCATGCTGCAGCTAACCCCAGTCCACTGTCCCCCGCCCCAGGTGGAGGTACTGGCTCTTTCTGGTGACCTCTTGTGACTTCATTTGTTTCTGTGCATACGCAAGCGGTTGGTGGAGGGGACAGGGACACAGAGAAAGAAAGAATCTTAAGCAGGCTCCGGCTCAGTGGAGCCTGACACAGGGCTCCATCCCACAACCCTTGGATCATGACACGAGCCAAAATCAGGAGTCAGAGGCTTACCCGACTGAGCCACCTAGGTGCCCCTGTATCTTTTTCATGCTGCTCATCACTTACTGCTTAGCATCAGTTACTTATAACTAAACTTTACAAACAAGTGTCAAAAGGCAACATCTAAATTTGTTGCAGATAACAGGATGAAGCAAAATACACTACTCCCAAATATGCCACTTTAGTGTATTGATTATTTCAGTTGTAGGCTCTTGAAAAATAGGAAGGGCAAGGAGAGGTTTTCTCTGCACTATGCTCATCTGCCTAAAGACAGACCTTCCAAAAGGAGCTCAACTGTTTCATCAATCAGGCAAGACTGACTCCTATCACAGAAAAGGAAACTAAAAGTTGACACCACCACAGCCAAACTTTGTCACAAACTGTCATACCTTCCATCTGTTCTCCTGAGGGCCCATTTATCTTTCCTAAAAATCATTTATTTTCCCCACTGAAATGGTGTTTAGTCCTGAATGAGGCACATCTGAGCTAGTCATTTTTCCATGGGCCTCTCCCATGTATGCATGAGATATACATGTTAATAAATTTGTTTTTCTCTTGGTAATCTGCGTTTTATTACAGGACTCTCAGCTAAGAACTCAGAGGGCAGAGGGAAAAGTACTTTTCTTCCCCTACAAGGATTGCTCCTACATTTTCTGATATTTTTCATTAAAGCGCTGTCCAGGGTACATCTTCACTCAGGTTTCTCTAAGGGTTATGTTTCAGTATATACACAGAGAGGCTCTTCTTTAGGAGGCTCCATAGATGTGAACAACACCGACCGACAAAGCAAACGTGCCTTGGTTCTTCCCTAACAGCTGGCATTAGCACTCACCTGAGACCAGTTTAGATCTACCTGGTATGGCTAAGGGCTATATTTGAAACAGTATCTTACAAGTGATTTGTGAGGAAAAGAAGAAAGAGAAAATGCAAATATTTTTGCATACCTTTTTTAAGACTTGAAAAAGGAGCAAGAAAAATGAGAACTAGTACCAAACATCTATTTGCTCCCCCCCCCCCAAACTTAACTTCACACATTGAGGGCTGGTATCACTTGGGACAAACTTGACTTATTTTCTGTTGTTGTTTAAGATTTGATTTATGTAAGCAATCTGTCCACCCAACTTGGGGCTCAAACTCACAACCCTGAGATCAAGGGTCACACACTCCACTGACTGAGCCAGCCAGGCACCCCCAGAGTTGATTTATGAATAACGTTTCCAAATACATGAGTTTATAAGTAGAGTCCCTGATGAGTAGAGACATATTTGTACATTTCAACAAGGAGCCAAAAATCACACATCAGTACTCACCGCAATCCACCGCTGACTTAAGGCAATGCAAGCATTTGTCAGAGTCATATCATAGCTGCGAAGATGAAAAAATACTGGAGATTAAATTTCATAAAGATGTACATGCTCTTCCATAAATGCGACGTTGAAACTACAGAACGCACTTAACTTTCAAAGTTCTTTTTAAATAAAGATCAGGAACACCAGAGTGATGGAAACAGGAAATCTTCTACCTGACTTAAATATTCTGGCATCATCTAAGAACCTGGAAATCCACGTGGATACCAAATTAGTGAAGCACCTGACTATCCTTCAGAGAGAACACCCCAACATCTCCGCAAAGACAGATGCTTCAGTAGTGTGTGCTGAAGCAGCTGGGACTCAGTTGGGCAGATCTAGTGTTTGCTGTATGGCAGGCACAGTTCTAGGTGTTCATGACAAGGTGACAACACGCTGCTTTCGTGGATTTTACATTCTGTTGTTCCAGCTATCTAATCATCCCACAAATCTGTGAGTGCCTACGTGTCAGGCACTGTTCTAGACACCCGGGAAATAACGGTGTCCCAGGAGACCCTTGGGAGACTCCGAAACAATGTGATGATTTTATTTCTTCTCAGAAGAAAGTGGAAATAAACTCTGATTGTAAAGCAAAGCAAACTGCATTAACATTTGTGAGTTCTCAACTTCGAAGATAAACCACATGTTTTGCAACGATGGAAGAGACTGTAAAATGTGTGCAAAATTCTTGCAAAACATCCCTATTTGTCCATAAATCATGCTTGCTTGCTGTGAAATGTTTCCATGAGAGAACAGTAGGGAACTTGCCCCTGAGGATCTAAATTAAATAAGTTTTGATTGGAAGTTACCATTGAACCTGCTTAAAGAGAGTTTGTGCCCTAGGGGAAATTACAAATGGGTTAAAGCAGGGAAATCCTTTGAAGCAGCTGCCAGTCAATCTCCATAAAGTAGTCATAAAGTGACTCCAAAAAGTCACATAAAGTGTGGACTGCAGGGAAAGCCTCTTGTTTGTCCCCAAAACCAAAGGGGATCAGAGGCAGTAAACTGCTCAGGCAGTAAATCACCTTCAGCTAGAATATTTCTTAGCACTGATTTCTAAGGAACAAAAGGGCAGTACAAAACCTCTGCTTATCTCTTTCTTGTGCCCTGAAACTTCCTTCTCTGTGTCACAAAAAGAACCTTGTAAGAATTAGCCCTTACTTATGGCAGGAGGAGAAGCAACCCTTACTTATGGCAAGGTCCTAAGAACAGTAGTGAGCAAAACCAGATATGAGCCTTGCTTGCATGGTGCTTCTGTGTAGGGAAGGAGAAAGACTTTGGTAATCACACAAACCAATTTAAAATGAATACTGTGGTAACAACAATGAAGAGGCCATACACAGCACCAGAAAACCCTATACGGGGACTTGACCTGGTCACAGAGGTCAAGGAATGTTCCTTTGAGCAAGTGGTTCTTGAGCTGAGACTGTAATTACCCGGGTCAAGACTACGCCATGTGGCGGGAAGGGCTAATAGTAGTGAACAACCTCAGTTCAGGTCTCTGATCTCAGGAGGGTATTTAGTTTAAAAGGCAGCACCCTGGAGTGCCACCTGGATGGCTCAATGTCTGACTTTGGCTCAGGTCATGGTCTCACGGTTTGTGGGCTCGAGCCCTGGGTCAGGATTTTCTCTGTCCCTTCCCCACTCATGTGCACTCTCTCCCTAAATAAACAAACTTAGAAAACAACAAACAACAAGAACAGCAACAGTATACTGGGGAGTAAAGACTGCCAGGGTTTGAATCTCAACTCTTACTACCTACTGTGCAAACTTAGGGAAGACATTTTACCTAGCTAAGCCTAATGTGTCTTCTCTGGAAATGGGATGACAACTTATAACACTGTTGTAACGATTAACATAATACTTATACAAGTTATTTCTCATTACAAAGGTTTTGAAGGAAAGGGAGATATCGTACTCTTCTCTGTATCACCAACCTTCAGCTAAAAGGAGGCATTCCGTAATTACTTGCAATTCATTGATTTATATCACGGAAATGATTCTTTTGACCTCAGGGTTAAGGTTCAAACACCTATGAAGTCTACTCGCTAACTAGTTACAGCTTAAGGAAGTCATAAAACCCTCCCCGGTATCTTGGAGGAGCTTGAGGATTTAGGAGAATGAGAAGGAAAGCGTTAACAGGTAAGTACTGACTTGGGTTTTACAGGAGGCATTCCAGGAGAGTACAGCCAGGCATTCCAATCAACTTGATTGAGAATATCAACCTGCGAACAGGAAGGGCACCCAGTTTGCTACAGAATAGGCTTTTCCATTGGAAACAAAAAGAATCTAAAACAGACTTTTAGGTCCTCAAATCTGTAATTTTGTCTATACTGACATAACTAAAATAAGAAAATTATAATGCATTTCTGAAACATGCTATTGCAGATCTCTCTGAAATATATACACATTAGTTCATGTTGTTGAGATCACATTTTAAATAGGAAAAAATACAATGAAAGGTTGAATCTTAAATTCTAGACCAGTACTACTATTAAGTAATTCAAATCAGCCTAACAAATAGCCATTAGATGAAGATATATTGGGCATGAAAAATAAGGAAGTTTTTAAAAGCCAACCTTATCTTTAAAGTGGGAATACAGGAAATCCTTCCAGTCATCAGTGGTTATGCTCTTATAGGAAAACTTCTCAACATAAGCTTTTAGAAATCCTAGGAAAACCTCTAAGAGTTAAAAAAAATAAAAAGAAAAGAGAAAAAGAAAAGTTGATTAATGGAAAGGTAACTATTTAATATTTTGGGGGGTCCTTAGTGTAGTACTATTAACCATAGAGAACAGAGAATTTTCAGAGAATAGCAAAACCAGTAAGGGCTCCAGTGGTGAAAGAATGTTCAAAAAAGGAGGTAGGACTTAAGCTGGGCCTTGAAAAGTAAATGTAATTTAGTGGAAGGGAGAAGAGAAATCCTAATTACAATTAAGAGGAAGATAAAATGAAGAAACATAGGGGGCGCCTGGGTGGCTCAGTCGGTTAAGTGTCTGACTTCAG